CGCAGCCCAGCTGAGCCACGCCCACGCGCGCCGTGCGCCGCCCGCGCGCCAGAATGTCCGTTGCGTCTCGGTGGCGACGGTCCCCGGGCTGGCCGCGAACTCGCGCCTTACGACAGCCGGCGCAGGAGCCACAAAGGCTCCCGCAGCCCTGCCGGCCCCGCGCGTTGCCGCTGGGTCCTAGAGCCCGTTGGCAGACTCTCGCGTTAGAAACCGTTCACATCCCTTTGAAAAACTGCAAGCAAGGGGCCCGAGTTAGGGTCTGGATGCCTTTCCAGCCCAATCTCTATTTTCTGGGCCTAGGGAACGCCCAGTTCCTCAAAGGGCCAGCATTTCCGGTCATTTAAAAAGAACCTGACCACACAGATGCTTTTCAAAATACAAGTATATTCTCATTCACCCAGGAATTTTTCCTTTTTACTGGGCCAAGTAAACTTGCCCCTCAGCCTTCGAAAATACAGTGGTCTGAAGCATTGCTTCCAATGATGAAAGAGCATCAAAAAGAATCCTTAGAAGCCAACACCATCTCTCCCAAAAAAGCTGCTTACAAAATTTATTCCTCTATAACGGTGACTAACTCGGGGTAAAGATCAGGGCCTAATAAGGAAATGGTTTTCTAGCCTAAGACATAACCTCTGCTTTGCCGGTGTGCAGCAGCCCCCAAGACTAACACAATTCCTTTTCACTCACTAAATTTGTGACAACATTCTGGACATCAGGATGAGCTCAGCCCACCTTGTCCATCAGAGCTTGAGCAGGCCACTAAATATCTCGAAAATTCAGGTCCTAACCTATCCCATACAGGATAAGACTTTAATGACACGATCCTTTTCTCTGATGAAATTAGGTGATTCCATCAATCTGCAGGCATCTCTGGCATTTTTCGATTTAGAAAAATGATGTCAACACAAATAGCATGTGAATATTCGGTAGGAATCCAGACAAAAGTTGTAAAGGGCAAGAACATGAAGGGCTGTTTTTCTTCATTCTTGTGTGGCACGGGAAAATCTATAAGGGTTAAGGGGAGGATTCAGCAGACAGCTGAGAGGTGCCAGGCCCATTTTCTAAAAGGATTACTAATGTCTATTTATAGAACCTTGCCGGCCACCATGTCCTGGATCAAGATACACACACTGTCACAAATAAAGAATAGGCAGCAACACTCCACAGAGTATTATTGTAATATTTTATTTGACACGGTCTTAAGCTTTAAAGGAAAAATTAATATGTAGCTTAGAATTATTAATTAGAGCACACTCAATATTTAGCATTAGATTTTATTTTAAGGCAAAGGATTATCACAGGTTTTATGATTAAGTAGACTGTACATAAATTGGGGGAGGGGCGATAAGCCAATAAATAACATCACTTTAAACACTACAGAGTCCAGTTTATGGCAAATTATTTTCTACAATACAAAACTAATACAGAAAACACATCTGGAAAGATCACAGTGTTTAGAACGTTGTAACAGCAGTTTTAAAAACAGTAAGGTACATCTTTAAGCTTCTGACTCAATCCTGCTCCTAGAGATTTCATTATACCATGCATTGACCAAACCCCCCTCGTGAAGAGGAGGCAACATCCACTGACCAGCACTTCCCCCTCCAGGAATAACCAATAACAAAAGCTAAAATCTGATGAGAATTTGCAAGTTGATCCTTCTCCCTTTGCACACCATCTAACTTGCCCAGTAGACTGTGTCTTGTATGTATTATCATTTGTCTTTTTATCCTTGAGAAAAATGTATACATTCGAGCTTATGATTGCTAGTTTCCCTGTCAAATACCTAAATAGATTTTGACTGAAGATCAATTTAATGTCATGTATTGCATTATACTTTCTTGCTAGGACTGAAATACTCATTATTTTAAAAATATGTACACAATAATAGACTTATAGAAAGTGGGTTTTTTTGGTAGAATAATATGTAACAGACCACAATACTTGAGAATTGTGTTTTATTATAAAATACAGTACTACAACAGTTTGTGATATAGTAAAATATCTGACAGAATGTTCTGCTCTAAATTTAGACCTAACTGCTACAGATATGTCTGTGAAAGCGCCTCACAATACCTCTATAAAGAAATATTTAGAATAATTATCAAGAGGTCATAGAACCTGTTTTTGGCAAAAAGGCATTTTTGAAGAAGCTTCTTGTTTTCTGTGCAAGACTTTCAAAATTTTAGTTATATACTACAGGAAACTGGTGTTAGATTTAATGCTAAAGAAAATTAGTAGGATTTTAAAGTAGTAATAACTAATCTCTACTATTTGGTTTATTTTTCATAATTTTATGTTTTTAACTGCATTTGTGCTGAGGCAAATCTATTGTAAAGAGTACAATTTTATTAATATACTAATTTATTGAGCAGTTCTTCAAAATTGAATATTACTTTAAATAATAGTATGTATTTATTCCTAGATATAATTAGGAACAAGCAATTATAGTCTATTGACAGAATATTCTTTTGTATCTCCCAAAATAATTAAGGAATTGCACTAGTTTACTATTGAATATGCAATGTATCATTAGGAAGGTGAGCTTTATTCCTCCAATGATACAATCATATTACTGTAAGGATTGTGAATTGTGCAAAAAATCGTTTTGGTAAAGTAAATTGTATTCACTTGAGAAATGCACACTCCAAAATTAACATGTGGTGCTTGACTATTCCCATATATGGCTTTACAAAGTGTTTCCCCTAATAACTGGATTCTACAAAATCCATTTTTTACATGTTTGTTAATTTAGCGCCATTAAATCCATGAAATTAAAATTCAGACTTCCTTTCCAAGTGGAGCTCCCCCAGATGTTTAAAGTTGGGAAAGCTGTTACGTTTTTAGAGAATCAGCTCCCCTTTCTTTTCAGACAGATTCTATTGGGTCGTCGGAAAAGTCATGACACATTTTTGCAATGAAAAACATAAAAAAATACGTCATGACTTTTCTGACGACACAATAAAACCAAACTTTTGCACTTAGAATGTACCATTCCCACTCCTGGACAATCTATATAAAACTCGTGGTATACTTTGCATTTTCAAGAGCAAAGGGATTCTACTGCAGCTAGTCTTCAGAAGACATCTCTAATATTGAAAAACTAAAGTCCTAAAAAACAGACAAAACTGATCATTCAAATCAATCTTCTTATTTGAATACATCCACATGTAAAGGTTACTACAGTCAACTTGGGCCAAATTCAGTGACAGAAGTTATTTCTAATTGGTAATTGCCACGTAAGCACAGATCGTAAAACAAAACTTATGGGGGCAGCATCAGAGGTCCCACTAAAACAAAGGCAAAAGATCATTTGCTAAAGATTGATAGTTGCCAAGTATAGTCTATATCTTCTTTAAACTGATTAAGTCACAGCTACTTTACACACTTTACAAAAACAGTATACATTAAAGCATATAAATTAACACACAAAATATAAAAAGAAAGCATCAACAGTACTGGTATTACTACTTAGGAAACTGGATTTTGTGTTTATACATATGTATACACATCCAGATGTTTCTCCCCTCATCTTTTTAGAGTGCTCATAATTTCTGAAAGAATAAGAGGAAGGTGTGTATTTAGGTGCTTTCTGAAGATCTATGCCCATGTGCAAGGGATTAAGCCATCTGCTGGTTTCAATTTACTAGGTGCTTCCAGAACAAGAAGATATATCTTGGCTCTCAGGTGACTCTGAATACAAACAATAAGTAGAGATATACTCCCAAAAGAGTGGAGGAGGGGAAGACAACGTTTTTCTTATATAGAGATATTTGTGGCAATTTCTGGAATTCTTGTCCCCAAAAGTGTAGTAAAGAAAGACCTCAGGTCTCTGTGAGTACAAGATAATAGAGATTAATACTCTGGGACAGAACCATTGTTCTAGTATCTTTAATGGAGGGGTGGGAGTAGAGTGGGGGGAGGGGTGTTAAACCTCCTCTGTAGACAAAAACAAATATTATAAGCATACCATAAACATACCATGCCAGACTAACCATGTTTTCACAGCAGTAGCTGGGCAATAGCGACCATCAGGAGGTTGCACCTTACCGGCACAGAACTCAACAACTTCAAACTGGTTTCTTTACCCAGGAGTTTCCTCAGTCTCTGATACAGTAATCCACCATGTAAATCTCCAAAAGAGGGTAAAATAGACTTTCCTAACTTATTTAATCATGGAATCTATTTTTCCACAGGGCAGCTCTTGGAACTAGTGTTCTGCATTTGAGGAAACACCTCAGTAATCAAGTAACATGCTGTGTTTTGTTGCCATTTTCTCACATAACAACAAAAACGTACATAAGCTATAGGAAGAAGAACTTATCATTACTGTGGAACCTGCACTCTCCAATACAGAGGCCAAGCCACATGTGGCTCTTGAGCACTTGATATGTGACTAGTCCAATTTGAAACATGCAGTAAGTGTAAAATACACACCAGATTTTTAAGATCCAGTACCCCCAAAAATGTAAAGTATCTTAATAATTTTGTATTGATTACATGTTGAAATGATATTTTGGATATACTAAGTTAAATCAAATACACCATTAAAATTAATTTCACTTTTTTCTCTTCACTTTTGTAATCTGGCTACTGAGAACAATTTTAAATTACATATGTGGCTCCCATTTGTGACTCTGAAGCTCACATCTGTTATCTTCTACAGATGGCTACTAATGGCTTAGACCTGGCAGAAGAAGTTATTGTGAAAATGAATGCTTAAGACAGACAACTAGAAGTGTAACTAGGGCCCTCATTAATTATGTGCTAATTTGTTAGAGAGCAGTTAACACACAATGAAGACTCATTCATTAATCAAAGTATGCTTGCATATATCCGTTCACTCAGATATATGTAATAGCTAAATGTTGGGTTTTGTTTCACATGTGATACTGACTCTCCCTAAGTCATTCGGTCTCTCCCTCTCCCTCTCCCTCTCCCTCTCTCTCTCCCTCCCTCTCTCTCTCACTCTCTCTCTCTCTCTCTCTCTCTCTCACACACACACACACACACACACACACACACACACAGAGTCCTACAGGGACTAAGAAAAGCCAAAGGGAAAACAAACAGGAGGTATCTGCAAACCATTTTCACAGTTGACAGTCAAGCCTTGTGTATTTTTTCTCCCTCTCTCCCTCCTTTTCCTCCATATTGTGCAGACAGGAGAAAGGCAAGGCAGAGAAAAGCTAGTCTGCTCTTTTAACCATGCTGCTCACTAACAAACTAACAACCCCCCTCCCCAAATAACAAAAATATGGATGATTTGGTTTTCATTTTAAATAATTTTTCAAATTCAGTTCAGAGGGGTAAGTAACTGGTACACAAAGGCAAAAGAAGATGCAGGAAATTCTGCAGATAAGAGACTGCCATCTGTGGAAGGGTGTAGGTGGGAATGGAGTGTTTTAGACTTTACTAAAATCAAATATTTTTTAAACCCTAAAGGCATCCTTCATTAGGCCTCTATTTATTAGCACTTTCAATGAAAGAATCCAGGAGAGGGCACCCCCAGTATGAGATTTATGATAATGCAAGAGGCCCAGATATTTAATGTCATCATCAACTTTTTCTTTCCTCACAACAGTACAAACAAAATGGCCAGGAGGAGAAGCAGGATAAACGCAGTCGCCATTATATTCTCATGCACAGCTGCACTTGGGGTGGCTTGTCCTGGACCTGTGATCTACTGCAGAATGGGCCCAACTCCTGCTGCTGCTGACCTTGAGGTCGACCCTTCTGGCCAGACTGGAGTCCTGCCTTATTGAGCCTGTAGCTCTTAGCTACAAATTGACATGGATGGAAGAGATAAGGAGAAAACCTGCCCTCTTAGGAGAAAGTATGTCATATAATTAAGCAGACACAGGAAAAAACATCAGAATATACTATTAAAAGAGGAGGAGGACAAGAAGTTGCTGAGTTAGGGAGGGGGCATTAGAGGTCCCAGGAAGCAATAAAACCCATTAAACCTGCATTCACAACTTATGCTGAGATGCTGAGCTGTAGCAAGCTCTCCCCCACCTTTTGCCTGCCTTCTCATTTGTTTTCCTTGCCAAGTCTATGCCAAGGTCACATGGCTTTGGTGAATATGAGGCTTACTTATTTAGCTATTCATTTAGACCAGTGTTGAATAAATAAGCAAGGTCCCCAAAGGAAGGCCTTATATGTGATTGAGAGTCTATTTCTATCACTATATGTCATGCAGTTCTGAGGCCTGAATTAAAGTGCAGACCAAACTCAACCAAAAATACTTTAGTTCCCAGTCCATTTTTGCTCTGTAGATCTACAGAGCCTGCCAACTCCTTTTCTCACACTACTGGACTGGAATTGTTTGTTTCCAGCAAGCAAAATAAATATTTGCATTAAAAGGAGCTCTTGAGCTAACCCAGCCTATTATTCCTCAGGGAATCAGAACCCTCTGAGGCACAAATGCCATAGTCAGGATTGGTTCTTGAAAATGAAAAACGGACACTTTGTTTTTACCCATCAAGTGATCCAGACCCCAAGCACTGCATCCACGTATAGAGATTCCATTTGGCTAAAATGCTTATTTGAAGTCATAATTGAGCATGACTTTCTATGCATTGCAATCGGTACATAAAATTCAGCTCCCCCTTTAAATATATAAAGGACCTGCATATTATAAAACTGTCATATCCATTTCATCATTGACAATCCTCATGACAGCCCTGTGAGGTGGAGAGGGTGATTATTATTATTATTATTATCATTATTACCCATGGAAGTGGCAGAGAAAGACTTTAAGATTTCCAACACAGGGCTCTTTGTATTACTAATGTTTTGTTTTGTTTACTTTTAATCATGTTTCCTTAAAATGGCTATATCACAAACTTCAGTTTGTTGCACTGAAATTATTAAGATTTTTTCTCTACAAAAATTTACACAATTTGAGTACTACCTTAATTAAATCTTAGTGCGTCAAAGAAAGTTAAAGATATAAATTGCCATGGAAGAGTTCCAATTTAGCATAGACCAAGAAAATGATTGTTTCTTAAGTTATCAGAAAGTGAATACTATTACTTAATAATTAGTTAGTTAACTGAATCACAGGGGAACACATGCTGTCAATCTCTGTTCTCACTTACTCGGTTACAAATGGAACAAGAAAAGTAAAAACTGATGACTGATATGAGATTGGGCAAAATAAAGATATATAATATTTTAGGGTACATATGGAAACAAGGTACACAATTGTGTTAGTGCAACAAAATACACAAAGTTGTAATATGTCCCCAAAACTTGGTGATCTCAAAGAATAATGCAGTCTCCCCATTTTTAAGAGATTCTTTCAATCTATCCTCAAATATTTCCACTGTTACCTTCAGGGTTTACAATAGTTCATGTTACATATAGCAAATAATATTAAAGTTATACTAGTTGTGGTGAAAATGCCCCAAAATCTTCAAGAGGCAACATACTTGATTGAGCACTGCTCAAAAATAATGCAGAAGGGAACAAATTAGTTAATTAAATAAGAAGTGACCTGCCACACTTCTTTTTATAGCAACATTTAGGGGTATTTTTTTCCCCTTCTTGGGAAAACAAGATAGGAGAGGACCCTCCCAAACCTATAATTCTACTCTTTCAGGAAAATTAAAACTTAAAACATGTTTAAGTGCTAAACAAGCTTACCCTGGCTTCCAATTTACCGAGGTGTCAATTCATAAAGACACACTCAAACATGGCCTTTGCTTGGATTTGACACACAAAAGGGTTGCATTTCACAATGGTCAATACAACGTCAGTTACCCTAGTGGACCTTGAAAGGGCAGGTGAGCAAGAATGAGTCCAGTTTTTCTGAAGTTCCTAAAAATGAAACTGATATGTTGAGCTACAGTATCACTTCTTCGTGCTTTAGGCTTTAGGTCTCAAGGATGAACGGTGGATCCGCAAACAGAAACAGAAGGTAACTCCCGGGGGTTTTTTGTTCACTGCTATATCCCCAGATTCTAGTCTAGAATAATGAATAAATACACTTGGGAAGTGAAACCCGGATTTGAATCTTCATGCTTACCCTTCCTAGCTCTGAGACTTTGAACTAATTCCCTAAAGCACCTCGAAGTCTTTCTGGATGATGAAAAAAGCATGTGGTTCCATAAAGCCCTGTCCATCGGGTGCGTATAACCTTCAGCCTATAGGGGTCAAATGAAATGAATTTAAAACCAGATGGTGAAAAGCAGGTACCACTATCATTTCAAAAGGAGCCTACATTGTTGATGGCATTTTGTCTTACGGCTTTCTGAGAGGTCCTTCATTATTCTTGAAAGAACTTGTCGAATCCAACTTTGGGAGTCCTCTGAAACCTGCTACCTATGTGGCATGCCCCCAACCTGAGTATTCTCAAAGATAAACAATTGAGGCCAATTTTATATATTTATTATCTGAGGATGTGAAAATAAAACAAGAAGCTAAACAGGTAGATGCTTTTCAAAACCATTTTGTCCCCGTTTGTTCTGATGTGTGCAAACATAAACAGTCACAAAATATACAAAGGTTCTTACCTTTCTTCAGTCACAGATTCTTTGAGAATCCTATGAATACTAGAGATCCTCTTCCCAGAAACATGAGCACACACACACACACAAAACATATGCACACGGGCACATGCATACATTCCAATACACACACAACACACACACGCACACCCAAAAATACTTTTTGGCAACAGAGTACTCCCCAACTCCTCCCAAAATTCATCTGTGAATCATGAAGAACTACTGAACTAAATAAGTACTTAGATGTACATGGGGATAGATGTAAAATATTTACACATACCCAGGTACTAAATGACTATTTAAATAATTCTTAAATCTTATACAGTATATAACTTCCTCCTCCACTCTGATACATGAAATTGCCAGTGACCAAGTTCTAGGAAAGGGATAAACTCGTGTTCTGAGTATTGAAGTGACAGATGCTCCTATAGTGCTCTGCAAACCACTATTTCCTTGAAGTCGTTTTACAACTTCTATGTGTTTACAGCAGGGTTGAATTTAACGTGACAACTTGGCTCAGTGGGTATTGTAGACAATTTCTAGTGGAGCCTGTGTCTTGGAAGATAAGGTGATTAGCCAGGGAGTTCACTCATCTCTTAATCTAGCAGTATAAAACTGAGCAACGTTCTTTTCACAATCACTAGTTCCTTTTTCAGCAAGTGTCTGCCTGTTCCAGGGGATGCAGTATTATTCCATCAAAGGCAGACACATCACACTTTTGTCATGGTTACCCTGATCTTTGAGATTAGTGATTTTTACCAGAAGTGTATTTTACAGTTCAGCAAATAGCTTCATAGGGATTATATAGGCATCTAAAAAATGACAATAGACAATAACAGCTCACACTTCAAATGGAGAAAAACATTTGACAGCAACATTTGCTACAATATTTGCTAGCCTATGGATTTTACTATTCTAATTGAGCTTTAGGAAAGAAAAAGCAACCAGGAAAAGAGATGCTCTAAGACTTAAGGAAATTATATTTCAGGGTTTAAATGGAGTTATGATATGGTTTCTTTCAAGAGCCCAGAGTAATGATAAAAATAGATTCATATGCAAATTTCTCCACTCAGTAAAAATCATGAATTTTAATAACTAAAGGCATAGGATAGCCAAGAGTTCCCGTTCTGTCCTTCAGCAAGCTGACACTTCATCCCTCCTAGCAGTTTTCAGCTGGGCAATTATTTTAGCTTCAGATTGTCTTTATTTCTGAATTTAGGTATGGAAGGAACCCCAAAATGGTCAAATTCTCTCTCCATTTGCAAAAGTATTGGCATTTTATTGCCATAGTCCACATTTCCGTTTTGTTTTCTATGCCCTAACTGAATAAAAGATGATTTCTCTTTCTCTTTCTCCTCTGATCTCTGGTGTCATCCAGTCCCTGAAATATTCAATCTCTATGCTTTTTAGAAGAGTTTTGTGGTGTCTTTATTTTGCAGGTTCTCAGACCATCCTCCCTTAAGTCTGGTATCAGGTTGCCTTCACTTGCCTCCTTCCTTTCCTTCCTTCCTTCCTTCCTTCCTTCCTTCCTTCCTTCCTTCCTTCCTTCCTTCCTTCCTTCCTTCCTTCAGGCAGTAATGTTAAGGCTCATGGTTGTGATACCATTGAATGTGGCTTGTGTGGAAACTGCCTCAGGTAGGCTCAGGAAAACTCAGGGACCTTCTGTAGGGCCACAGTAGGAGATGGAGCCTTCTAAACAAAGATGCTGAAGAGAGGGAACTCAGCCTGACTGGGCTGCAGCAGATCGATCAGAAAGCACACCGTCCCGGAGAAGCCTTCATACAAGCTGTATATACTCTCAAGGACTCGAGAACCAGCCTTGAATTCCTCAGTAAATAAAAATTCAGCAAACCTAAGAGAAGAAGAAGAAAATATAAAGAGTTTTAACATGAGTGTTTCCACACTATTGGCCTTGGGTTGCTTCTTTCTCCTCTCCGCTAAGTTAAAGTTTTAACATCATTTTCCTTCCAGAATTGTATAATATTTTAAGACAGATCTTTTCTGTTAAAAAACAAACAAACAAACAGAGAAGCCATTATGTAAGTATATATGTTTCACAACAAATCATGTTGATGGGCAAATTCAACTATTTTGAGCATTTGCAAAGCATAACAGTTTGGTATTTACTGAGGATTTCATTCCTTCTGTCATCCAATAATTAAAAGAAAAAAGACACATAAGTAGCCATACTTTTATTTATCTTGAACAAAAGCAAGCTGATATATGACTATTCCTTTAAAAAAGTAAATATGCTGTCTTTCTGCAGGCATGTTATTGCTAAGCTAGCTTTCATTTATATGTGACAGGGAGCAGAGACTATGAAAATAAATGGGCAAGTTTTTATCCAATCTGTGCTTTGGGCAAACAAAGGAATGCAATGAATGGGAAAAGGCAAGCCGCATTTTATAATCATGACATCAAATAGCAAACTCAGCTACAGGATAGATTATTTTTAGGACATCTCCCTTAAAAATAAGTCACTGGCCTCTAAATTCTCTGTGAAAGAGCTTTTTTCTTTTACTGGTATTTGCCACAAATCCTATTCAAATTATTTATAATGAATAACATTTTTAGCAGTGAACAGTTTTTAAAGTGCTGTCACCAATGTCATCTCTTTACTGACTAGCTCTCCTCCTTCCCAACAACAACAAAAATAATCACCAATTCAGAGGCTGGAGCTCAAGTGTTGGTAAGGCCTGACAGCTGACACTGCCATAAATTTAGATGATTGCTACTATGCAGGGAGTCTTATGAAGAGTAACGTACTTATTTGATCATTTTAGGGTTCTTAGAATTATTGATGGCAGATTAAAATAAATCAGCAGGAAACACTGCAATTTTGTTTGGTACAATTTTTCTATCAACTGTTTTCCTGAAGATGCAATGATTTCTAAATGGAACTCAAAATTTTAAACAGTAGAATAATGATGCATCTTAAGAGTTTATTCAAAATTTGCCATTATACAATGAAGCTTCATGGTATAGCTTCAGAGAGTCTTAATCATTTTAGTGCTATAGATTATTTGGCAGTCTGGACTCTGTCTCAGAAAAAGTCATCAAAAACATAAAATAAAATACACAGGACTCCCAAGACAATTAATTCTATCAAAGCACAGTTAGCAATTTTTTAAAAACCAAATTTGTGATATAATAATATATGTATCCTTTATTAACACATTAAATAACAAGATCTAGTAGAGGGTCTAATAACTGCAGACTTTTCTAAGTAGTGATGGGAGTGAAACATATTTCATAACACCTGCAAAAATAATAATATGATGCTATGTGAATATCTGTGACATCTATAGGTGACAGACTCACAGATACTGCTCCTGTGGCTTATTGCTTACATTCAGAATTGAATGAAATGCTATATTTCAGTTTGAGATGTAATACTTTTCTTAAATTCACAAACCCTGAATTAAGAAGCCCTGGTGTAGGGCCGGCCGAGTGACGCAATGGTTAAGAACTCGCTTGGGATGCCAGAGGGCCCCGGTTCGGATCCCACATATGAGGGCCAGTGACACTGCCCTCCACAGCTAAGATGCTGAACAACAGCTCAACCTGGAGCTGGGCTGCCATGAGTCGCCGGCGACGGCGGGGGCTGCAGTCCCTGTGGCAGTGGATTGCCATGGGCTACCGTGTGTAGCCAGCAGCCAGCGTGAGCAGCCAGCAGCCAGCGTGAGCGGCCAGCAGCCGCAGTGAGCGGCCGTCCAGAAGCCGGCGACTGATCTGCCTCGCCCGGGAAGAGCGCAATGATGGTGCCAACTTGGGCCAGTGAAGCAACGTCCACCACAACTAGATTGAAGAACAAAACGACAGCAACTTGTCTGTTCCCCTTTCCCCAATTCCCCAGCACTGTTCACATCCCCCCAATTCCCCAATAAAAAATCTTAAAAACAAAAAAGAAGCCCTGGTGTAGTAGAAAGGGGAAGAACTGTACAGTTGAAATATCCAACTCTGATAATTTCATGTTACATGAACTTTGGCAAATATCTTAATCTGACTTTAATAATGGTGAAGTTGCAGAACTGCATAAAATTATCTGTGAAGATTAAAAATACCATATGTTAGTCTCAGCATATAGCCAGCATTCAATACATGGTAATTTTCATTTTCTTCACTTAAACATATTACAGCAGAATATTTGTAAAACGGAGACAACCATTCCATCATACTTTAAAAGCAACCCACAGTTAATTTTGCTCTCTCTTCTGCCAACATTTTTCTCCCCCTAAGCTTTGATTGATTTATTACATTGTTGAAATTGGGCTGCATAATATCTGGTATCCTACATTGTTTTATTTAAAAATAATATGATAAACATTTTTGTGCTTTTCAAAATAATTTCTAAATGATATACAGCAATTTATAAGAATACCATTAATATATGAGAGTAGCAGTTTCATTCTATTCTGGCCTGTATTCTGGCCTATCTACATGATATTGAACTGAAAATGAGTGTTTCCAAAATCTACCTAATGGTGCAGAATTCAAACTAACAAGTTCATTTTTCTAAAAAGTTCTGTCAAATATAAGTCAGAATGGTAATTATAGAACTACAGACAATTAAAGAATTACAGACACTGAGAGAATTACATATCAAAACCTACTGATTATGGCCAAAACTAAAATCAGAGGAAAATTCATTGATCTAAGTTTTTATTACTATTATTTTTATTAGAAATATGGAAGTTATTCTAATTAAGCATTTTTTTTAAACTTTAGAAAATAACAAAAAGGAATACCGGAAAGTCAAAATAAAGGCAGAAAACAATGAATTAAGAAGCAAAAGAGAAAAAAAGAATTAATAAACAAAACCAAAAACTTGTTCCTTGAAAGGATGAACAACAAAGACAAAATGCTGGCATGTCTGACCAAAATGGAAAAGCATTAGGAATTCAAAAGGACATATAAGCACAGACATGAGAAATATAAAACGTCATAGAACTATATTGTTAGAGCTTTACATCAAACATTTGAAAATCCGTATGAGTTAGATACTTTTATAAGACTATATTCACTGGCAAAATTAATTGAAGAAGAGGTAGAAAACCTGAAAAATTAAATAATCATAGAAGAAACTGAAAAGGTTGTCAAATATTTTTCTGCAACCATAAATTCCAACTGTATGTTAAAACAGTAATAGGCGAAGACCAAGTAATGTTTATTCCAGAGAGCTACATATTGTTTGACATTACTGTTTTAGGAACTGCCAAATTGAGGGAAGTCTCCCCACTTTGGGCCACACCATATTTAATTTTGAATTATAATGAAGTGGAAATTTTAGTACTCTAAGCAATTAAATGCAATGTCCAAATAATATTCAGATATTACCTGCACATTTTCATTCCTTACCTATGAGACATTTAAGTTGTCTGAAGGGCGCTGCACCCCAGAATCTTATAACCAAGACTGTAGGTTAGGACTGGTCTGCCAGAAAAATAAGGGGGTTTGCTCTGACCCTTTTTAATAGGCTCTCTAGGCTATGACAACCTCTGATGAAATTTATCCCAAAGGTGATATTGCATTAACTTAGATAAGAACCAGAATGACTTTCTTTTCCTACATTTGGGAAATAAAGGGTCAGGCTGCAATCAAACAGATTAGGGAGCCAGGAATCAAGATATGGCAACAGAATTTCTAAACAATGAAGCTTCAAATAGAGGACATGCATATGTTAATAAGTTTCCTTCGGTGCATACACACAAGTATCATAAAGGATGTTTTATGTTTTTTAAATTGAATATTAGATAAGTTGGCTTGGGAAGGCCTTTCTGAGAAAATGACTTTTGAGCGAAGCTCTGAGGGAAGTGAGAGAGCTGGGAGATACGTGTAGAAATTGAGTATTACAGGTAGAGGGAACAAAAACTTCAAAGGCCTTGAAGTAGATTGTATCTGGCATCCCAACTGAACCACAAGGAAGCCACGCACTGTGGCGGAAAGAACCAAGAAGAATAAGAGTAGGGGGTGATATCATAGAGGTAATGGGAGGCAAAATCCTATAGGGCCTTTCGTTCAGAGGAAAGACTTTAACTTTTACTCTGTCATATGGGAAGCCACTGGATTATCCTAAACAGCAGCATGTCATAATCTGACATAATATATATCATAAGAAACAAGTTTAAAAGATCATGGTGAGGGCTGGCAGAGTGGCGCATTGGTTAAGAGTTGGATGGGACACCAGCTCTGAGCGGCAGGGCCCCAGTTCGGATCCCACATGAAGGCCAGTACGCTGAACCCTCTACAGCGAAGATGGTGAACAACAGCTCGACCTGGAGCTGGGCTGCCATGAGTCGCCAGCAACGGCGTAGGCTGCAGTGGGGCTGCAGTGGCCTGCCGCAAGTGGCCGGCAGCCAGTATGAGCAGCCGGCAGCTGGCGCGATCTGCCCTGAGCCACTGTGAGCAGCCATCCAATGGCTGGTGAGCAACTGCCTCCCCTGGGAAGAGCACAATGATCACAATACCAACATGGGTCAGTGAAGCGACGTCCTCCACAACTAGACTGAAGAACAAAAGGACAGCAACTTGTCTGTTATCCTCCCCCAATTCCCCAGTAAAATCTTTAAAAAGAAAAAAAGATCATGGTGAAACAGAGAAGCATTCCTGATGAAATCAGCATAAAGTCAAGGGGGCAAGGGTGTTTACTATCCCTCTTATTATTCAACACTTATGGAGATTCTGACCCATGCAATATGAAATGAGAAAAAAAGGGTATACACATGAGAAACGTAGTAACAAAATTATAATTATTTTCAGATAATATGTGTCTATTTCATTTTATTAGGAATCTAGTGAAAATCTAATAAAAACAGCAATAGAGTTCAATAAGGTGGACAGATATATTATGATATTTATCAAAACTAAGATGTTCATGAGACCCAATGTACATTTATGTGAAAGACATGCATCTTAGATTGCTGAACTACAATAATATGTATATTTTTAAAAGCTTTCATAAATGCCAGTAATAAATTACCTGAAAACACAATGGAAACATAGTGGGTTGTCAGAAAAGTCATGACGTGCTTTTTCTGTTTTTTGTTGCAAAAATGCATCGTGACTTTTCTGACAACCCAATAGAATATGTAGGAATAAAATTAACAAGAAACATGCAAGACCTTCCTCAAAAGATCAAAATTATACCAAATGACATTTTTTAAACCTTAAATAAAGGGAAAACATACCATGTTCCTGGACAGAAAAGCTAAATATTTTATGTTAATTCTCACTAAAGCAACTTATAATTTCATTGAAATTTCAATCAAATTGCCATAGGATAGTTTTTAATTTGAAAAATTGAGTCTGAAATACAATTTGAAGAATAAATGAGACAGAATAGCTAAGAAAAATTAGAAATAAATAACGAAATATAGAAAGTCCAGAAACAAACCCATACATTTATATAAATTTGGTTTAAGATAAAATTGGAATTTCAAATCATTGGGGTAATTGGTCAACAGATGTTTTTGGAAAGTTTTCTTTTCATTAAAACACACAAAGATAGATACCCATATGATACCATTGGATAAAAAAGTAAGTTCTAGATTAATCAAAGATTTAAAACTTAAAATCATAAAGTACTAAAAGTTAATGTAAATTAATATTTTTATAATCTTGGAGTGGGAAAGGCTTTTTTAAACATAACAGAAAATCCAGAAATCTTGAAAGTTCAACAAATTAGAGAAGAAAAATACTTAAAATTGGGTATGGCAAAAGACCATGAACTAAGTGGAAAGAGAAATGCAAAGTAGGAAAATATTTACAGCATATATTGACAAAGAATTATAATCTTCAGTATAAACATAACAATAGGAAAAACTGAGCAAAAAATAAGACAGGCTAGAAATACCTATGGATCTAATGACTTCAGTTCTAAAATTTCTCTGAAAAGAAATGATTGCACAAGTGCATAGAAATGTATGTATTGGATATTTGGAACAATTTTGTTTGTATTAGTAAAGACTACCTACACATGTGCCAAGTATCCATTACTTAAAGATTGGTTAATTTAATCATGGTACATCTATAGTAAATGACTATATAGGCATTAAAACAATGAGATAGATCTATACAAACTGAAATGAAGGATGACCCTTAAAATTGTTTATTTAAAATTTTAAGCTGAAAACAGTATGTATAGTATATATGTAGTATCTTATTTTTTTCAAATAAGTCTAGCTTTTATTTTTTATCCCTTTGCCCTTTTTAATCTTTCATTATAGATAGCCATTTTAAAAATTGTTTATTTTTATTTATCCCCTTACTTTTGAAATCTAGGCATTTTTGTATTTGTATTGCCATTTTTAAACAGTAGCATACTATACTCACATTTATCCAACTTGCTGTCACTAATTAACATCATAAATCTCACTCTATAGTAGTATATAGAGATAGCCCTCATTCTTTTTTATAGCTGCATATAGTACTCTACTATGTGAATGTCATAGTTCATTCAACCAATCCCCTTTTGATTAATATTTGTATATTTTGTTGTTACAAACAGTTCTAAAATGAATACACATATGCACACTTTTTTACACGTTTTTGCTAGTCAGATTTTTATACACATAGAAATACTTATATATTATACACACACAGAGATATATGGACATACATTTATGCATACACAAATGTCTGGAATGATGTAACTCAAGTTTTTAGTAATAATAACAATGAACACTTACATTGCAGTTACTGTGTGCCAGGCACTGTTCTAAATGATAAATGAGGACATTATACTAAGTGAAATACGTCAGTCGCAAAAAGACAAACACTGCATGATATCACTTATATGAGGTATCTACAATAATCAAACTTATAGAAGCAGAGAATAGAATGATGTTTGCCAGAAGCTGGGGGAGGAGAGAGAAATGGGGAATTGTTGCTCAGTGGGTATAAAGTTTTAGTTATGCAAGGTAAGTGCTAGAGATCTGCTGTATGACATTGTGGCTATAGCTAACAATATAGCATTGCGAACTTTAAAATATGTTAAGAGGATAGATCTCATGTTAAGTGCTGTTAGCATGATAAAAAAAATCACAAATACACATACCCTTTGGCCCAGAAATTCTACTTCTAGGGATTTATGTTTCAGATACACGATGCATGTACAAAATATGTACAAGGTATTCATCATAGCATTCTTTGTAAGGCAAAATACTGGAAATAATCCAAATATCCCTCTGGGCTGGTTAAATAAATAATGGTTCATTCATACTAGGTAATATTATGCAAAAATAAAAATGAAAAGTCCTGTATGTATTGATTTAGGGTGATCGCTAAAATAGCAGGTTGCTACCATTTGTATATAAAAAAAAAAAGGGGTAAAATTTTTTTGCCCTATTTGCTTGTAGATATACACAGAATAACTCTGAGAAGATAACTAAGAAACTGGTAATGCTGATTATCTCCCAGGAAGTAAACTAAATTGCTTAGAGTGCATAGTTGATGTATTTCTTTTTACACTGTTTAAACTATGTGACTCTATTATCTATTCAGAAAATTCGTTAGATTAACATTTGGGGGAAAGAATACACGTGAAGAACAGCTGACCTTTGGGCTCGGTAGATGTACTTAGAGTTTCCTGTGAGCCGGTACAGCAGCAGGAAGACATAGGCACTGCCAGCTACGCCATGGCAAATCCCTGGCCCCTTCTTTAGTAGGCCCTTCTGCCATGTGAGCTCCCCACACCGGATACATGTGTCCAGGTACTGTGGTTTCTTGGAAACGAGATAAGCTTTGGCAAACAGATAGGCAATTCCTGTGAAAACATCAAAAGACATTAGAGGTGACTTTCAGGGCTTAATACTACAGAGCGGAACTTCTCAGGTTGTAAAACAGTCACACATTACCAGTCTATTGGTAAAATATGCATTCTAATCAGGTAGATCTGAGGTGAGGCCCAAGATACTGCATTTCTAACAAGTATCCTGCTGGGGACCACATTCTTAATAGCAAGACTAGAGAATCTTCTACAAGGGAGTCTTATTTTACCTGTGAGATTTAGTTTAAGTTCTTTGAATGGTATCATGGTGTTGGCAGTACATAGATTGATAAAATCCATAATTTACAAATGGGTTAATGTTTAATGAAGCATACTCTGGAAAGCATTGTGCATATCTGCCCATTCCCCTCAGAAGTTCAGAATTTGTCAAGTTAAAGCACTTATAACTTGACACCTTTTCTTAAGAACAAAACCAGGAGTCCTGCCAAAATCAACAATGATCTCAAACCACGGAGCCGAGACTTCTACTCCAGCTGTGAAGTTTTTCCCAACTTGATTGTTCCAAGGAAAGACACTTTCCCTCAAAACTTCTCAACAAAGGCAATCTCGATTACACAGGCAGGAACAGAAACAAGAGAAGCGGCAACTATTAATAGAATCATTTCCCTCAAGTTCCAGGTGCTCATATGCAGAGTGAGATTAGTGATGTAAGATCACTCTCTCGCCTGCATGACCTAACTTTCTCCTATATAAAGTGGGCAAGACGGGAATTTAGTCGGCATCTTGACTAGCTCATCCATCAAGGTTCTCTCTGACGTTCCTTGTCTTTGACTAGGCTCTTGTACAGCTCTGCAGAGATAGGAATTACCGTGTAGAAAACTGATAGTAATGTAAAGAATTCCTGTCCTTAGAAACTCACATTCTGTCTGGTGGCAGTCAGGCTGACTTCCTTCAGCCCTTGTGAAAGCAGCCGGGTTTTCATCTATTAAGCAAATTCATGTCCACATTCCTAATGGCCTGTAAATACGTCTGCTCTTTGGATTGTCCTGTGAACCAGCTGTAACACCTTTCTGGTTCCTTCATTCACTAATGAGCACTAACATTGTTGACATATGTTTATTTTATATTTGTATGAGAGTTAATTTTATTCCCTTTTAAAATGTATCCTTTAACACTTCCTATGATTAGCATTTACACAACAGGCTCTCCTCAGCCAGTGCGTTCCAGTCAACCACTGACAATGTCACCTATAGCATTGTCCTCCTTCAATTTTAGAAACAAAGTATCTCTCACAAAGGATGATTTGAAAAGAATTGAACTTATTTAATTACACATCCATTCATTCACTGTATCCATTCATTTGAAAGTGTTCATTGATTATCCACTGTATGCAGAGCCCTATGCAGGGCTGGCTTTATGGGCATGTGACCTGTACAGTGTTCCAAGGGCCTCCAGAAGGGCCTGATGTTGGGTTTAATGCTCTGCTGTTGCCATCTTGAAATTCTTAATCATTATTTAAAAGAGGGCTGTATTTTTATTTTGTACTGGGTCCCCCAAATAATGTAGCCAGTCCCAGCCCTGGTATCACATAAAATAAATGTTGAACATGATCCCTGCCCTTCAGGAAGGCAGCGTCTAGAAAGGGAGAGAAAAATAGGTACATGTGACTGACATATAATAGGACATGTAGGTCATGATGTTATTGGTGCATGAAATGAATGGTGCTATCAATACCACTAGAGGGATCAGAAAAGTGGAAGCTCCCTGAGGGAGAGTCAGATGAAGCAGGGTTTCCTCAGGACTTTGTAGAATGCATAGGAAACTCCAGGCCCAAGGTGAGGTAGAGAGAGCATTCTAGGCATGAAGATGGGCAAGGGCAAAGATTCGGAGCAGGACAAATAAGCCACACAAAGACCAGCGGGGCAATGCTCTAATTAAGAGGACAGTGGGGTAGAAGAAGAGATCACGTTCACATAGTGGATGATTTTACAAGTCTAGTTAGGCAGTGTGGACTGCATTGTGTGGGCAATAGGGAACCAGTGGGAGTGTTTTTGTTGTGGATTGGTTTTTATTCTTAATGATGTAATGAGTTATTATAAACAAAATGCCCCAGGGCTGGCTGAGCGGCTCAGTTGGTTAAGAGCTCGCTCAAGAGTTTGAGCTCTGAGCAACAGCGGTTCAAGTCCAGCCTGAGCTGAGCAGCCGCTGAGCTGCCAACAGGTAGCAGGATGGCTCAGCTTAAAAAAAAAAAGCCCCACAGTGGTGTCAAAAGAGACCTAAAGAAGGGCAATGGGGTAGCTATGAGCTGATCATGTTGGCAGAAAGATGGCAAAGGGGCTAACAGAAGAGACAGCTTCCAGGATTTGGTGGCTGTTTTGATATCCCTTGAGTACCTACTATATGCCAGGCAAAGGAGTAGGTGCTAAGGTTTTAAAAGGCCCCAGCCTTCATAGTGTTTACAACCTCACTGGGGGAATTGATTAGGCTAAGTGAGGGGAAACACAGGTGCTGTGGAAGCACAGAGGAAGGCTCCTAACCCACACCTGGAGGGACGAAAGGCCCACGATGGGGAGTGACACCATCTGACCTGAGTACCAAAGGATGAGGAGCTATTGGCCAGGTGAACTGGAAGCCCTTGCTGCTCTGCCGGATCCTCCTTTACCTTGCCAGCAGGTGCCCCATCTCCCAATAGCTATGACCTGGCCACTAACAAAGCTCACATTTGCCCTCTTCTTGGGAGATTTACACTGCGCCAAATGGGAGGCACCCACCCCCCAGCAGATTTTGACCAATGACTGCCTGACACGAGGGTACAAAAGATCAGCCCCTGCCTTAAGACAAACCAGGTATAATCTGTGCCTCTTCACTTCCTCTTGAAATCCAGGTGAGGCTAGTCTCCAGGTGAGACACAGAAAGCCCTTTGTGACCCAGCTCCTACTCTGTTCTCCTGCCACTTCTTCGCCACTCCCTACTTGAAGCCTTTCTTTTAAGTAAAACCAAAGCACCCGCAGTTCCCTTTCCTTTGCTGTGTGGTTCTACACCTCTGACTGACTTTTCTTGGAACTTCTCACCTTTCTTAGCCTGGCCAACTTACCTCAGTCATCACCTCCTCCAGGAAGCCTTTCCTGATGGAGGAGCAACAGGAATCCCTCTGAGCTCCCATCACTCCCTATACAAACCTTAGTTAGCACTTATACAGTATCATATTAAAATTATCTGTGAACATGTCTGCCTCCCCCATTATAGTGCAAACTACCCAAGGGGGGGGAACCTCTATCTTGTTCATTTTTACTCCCCTAGTCTGTGGCATAGTGTTTGACACATGGCAAAGGCTCCACACTTGGCTGCTGACCTTATAATGTCTTATTTCTCACCCAAGCACAGGCCAACACTGAGGTAGAGATGAGAGATGTGGAAGGAAGAAGGGCTGAGATGGTCCAACTGCTATACCAGGCTATTCGCCCCAGGCAGCTAATAGGTATCGATCCTATGGTTCTAGTGAGAGAGAAAGGGCCTCTTCCTGCAGCCTGAGTCACATAATGGTACATGGAAGGGACCTTGAACAACTTCTAAATCTATTGTCTCCGGACTGGACCTGTGAAATCCACAATAATCTATAAAAAAGGAATGTTGAATTTCTTTCTTTTGATGGGAATGTATCATTTCGCCCTGGGAACACTGATTATGGTGCATTAATAAGAAACCTGAGGGCCGGACGAGTGGCGCGATGGTTAAGAACTGGCTTGGGACGCCAGAGGGCCCCGGTTCGGATCCCACATATGAGGGCCAGTGACACTGCCCTCTACAGCTAAG